GGCCGGTGGCCCGGGGGTGGCGGCTTCAAAGAGGAAGTCATTTTGCAAAGCTGCGGTTTTCAGGGTTCTCAGAATGTAAATGTCACCATCTGTATACACACACCGCCATCTGTACACACACACACACACACCGGCTGGCTGGCGGTTGATGATTTGAATGAACCGCCGAAATGGCACCGGTTTCGCTTTGGAACTCACAGGTCTGAGAAAAACGAAATGATCAAAATACGTGAAATGTCAACATCTGTATCAATATTGCGTCAAAAATGGAATGATCAAATATGTGAAATATCAAACGTGCATCGATATTGCATCAAAAATGGAATATCAGATATGTGAAATATCAAATGTGTATCAATATTGCATCCAAAATGGAATATCAGATATGTGAAATATCAAATATGTATCAATACTTCATCAAAAATGAAATATCAAATATGTGAAATATCAAATGTGTATCAATATTGCATCAAAAATGAAATATCAAATATGTATCAATAGTTCATCAAAAATGAAATATCAGATATGTGAAATACCAAATATATATCAATACTTCATCAAAAATGAAATATCAGATATGTGAAATACCAAATATGTATCAATACTTCATCAAAAATGAAATATCAGATATGTGAAATATCAAATATGTATCAATATTTCATCAAAAATGAAATATCAGATATGTGAAATACCAAATATGTATCAATAGTTCATCAAAAATGAAATATCAGATATGTGAAATATCAAATATGTATCAATATTTCATCAAAAACGAAATATCAAATGTGTATCAATAGTTCATCAAAAATGAAATATCAGATATGTGAAATACCAAATATGTATCAATACTTCATCAAAAATGAAATATCAGATATGTGAAATACCAAATATGTATCAATATTTCATCAAAAATGAAATATCAGATATGTGAAATATCAAATATGCATCAATATTTCGTCAAAAATGAAATATCAGATCTGCGAAATACCAAATATGTATCAATATTGCATCAAAAATGAAATATCAGATATGTGAAATATCAAATATGTATCAATATTGCATCAAAAATGAAATATCAGATATGTGAAATATCAGATATGTATCAATATTGCATCAAAAATGAAATATCAGATATGTGAAATATCAAATATGTATCAATATTTCATCAAAAATGAAATATCAAATATGTATCAATATTTCGTCAAAAATGAAATATCAAATATGTATCAATATTCCATCAAAAATGAAATATCAAATATGTATCAATATTTCCTCAAAAATGAAATATCAAATATGATATTTCGTCAAAAATGAAATATCAAATATGTATCAATATTCCATCAAAAATGAAATATCAAATATGTATCAATATTTCCTCAAAAATGAAATATCAAATATGTATCAATATTCCATCAAAAATGAAATATCAAATATGTATCAAAAATTTCATCAAAAATGAAATATCAAATATTTTTGATCAAATATCAAAAAAGTAAGAAACTCTAGCAATCTATTTTTTTGTTTGTTTGTTTGTTTTTTGAGACAAGAGTCTCGCTCTGTCGTCGCCCGGGCTAGAGTGAGCGCCGTGGCGTCAGCCTCGCTCACAGCAGCCTCCGACTCCTGGCCTCCAGCGATCCTCCTGCCTCGGCCTCCCTCCCGAGTAGCTGGGACGACAGGCATGCGCCACCACGCCCGGCTAATTTCTTCTATGTATATTTTTAGTCGGCCAATTAATTTATTTCAATTTTTAGTGGAGACGGCGTCTCGCTCTTGCTCAGGCTGGCCTCCAACTCCCGATCTTGAGTGAGCCTCCCGCCTCGGCCTCCCAGAGTGCTGGGATGACAGCTGTGAGTCGTCATGGCTGGCTAATTTTTTTGTATATATTTTTAGCTGCCCAGCTAATTTCTTTCTACTTTTAGTAGAGACGGGGTCTCAAATCTTGCTCTTTCTGGCCTCCCAACTCCTGACCTCGAGCGATCCTCCAGCCTCGGCCTCCTCCCGGAGTGCTGGGATGACAGGCGTGAGCCTCCGCGCCCGGCCAACTCTAGCAATCTTCACAGAACTTACTAGAGAGGTGGAGTCGAACACCCCATACGTCTGCAAATTCATACCAGTGACCCCCAGAGACGCTACGTCTGCTTAGGGGTCCCCCCTTCCCCACTCCTGGCTCCAGGGTAAACCCGCTGGGGTGGGACAGAGGAGGGGGGATCCCCATTCTACCTCTGTCCCTCACCGACTGGTTAACCCAGAATGAGTCAGAATCTTCCTATACTTCCATCTTTACACCTGTTAAAAAAAAATATACATATTCCTTCCAGTCGACGTTCTAGAACCCTAAAGAGGCAGTCTGGGCCGGGCGCGGAGGCTCACGCCTGTCGTCCCAGCACTCTGGGAGGCCGAGGAGGGAGGATCGCTCGAGGTGTCAGGAGTTGGAGGCCAGCCTGAGCGAGAGCGAGACCCCGTCTCTACTATAAATAGAAAGAAATTAATTGGCCAACTAAAAATATATAGCAAAAAAAACGAGCCGGGCGTGGTGGCGCATGCCTGGAGTCCCAGCTACTCGGGAGGGAGGCCGAGGCAGGAGGA